TATCTATCTAGGTCGGGAAATCAACGTGATGAACGACTTAGCTCGAAAGATGAGCAGAAAGAAACGTGCGGCATGTGGAGTTTTCAAAAGCACCGAGGATGTGGTGAAGAGAACAATGAACAACCGATTCCACGTTTACCTTTTTGACTCAGCGGTACTTCTTCGCGTCAAAAACCTGGTCGCTCCGTTAGCAGTACAAAAGGTCACTTAGCGTTATTGAAAGCGCAGTGGAAAGGAAGATCATGGGATTGTCACATGTCGTACAAGTAAGGGAAGGGATCCGAAGCTCCGACCTGCGTCAACGATCAAAAATCAAAAATGCCGTTCTCTACAGGGTGGCTCGGACACTTTATATGCGTATGAATCGTTCGATTACTGATGGACAAGAGCAGCTAGCTACTGGATTCCTTGGGATGTCAAACGCGCTGCAAGATGACCACCGGATTCGATGGTCAGAGTTCTTCATGAAGAGCCTAGGAGGAAGATATGATATTCAACGAGTTCCTAGAGCGAGTAAAACTCACTGGGCTACTCTTGTATGCGACAGGGAAAAATGGAAGATTTGCTGGCTTCCGCCCGAGTCACTTGATGATCAACTGGACTACGTGTGACACAGCTAATAGAGGCGTGTGAGAAAAAACGAAAACAAGAAATTGGAGAGGAGGTAGCCATATCTCGAGTAACCTCACATTACGGTATGCAAGCCCAATGTTCTTGACAACTGAATAAAAAGTGGATAAGAATTCTTTAAAATCCTCCTTTCGCACGATCGTTCATAATGGTAGTCTACTTCGGGCATGCGTCTTACGCACCTAAGGTACCATTATAATCTATCCGCTCTCATCCGCCAATTATTGCTTTTTATCGTGGAACCCCCATAAACACGTTTGAGTTTCTTCTTCTTCATTGGATTCATTTAACCACTCATGTCGCCCATATATTGCCAACTCATCTCATTAAGCAACCAATCATTCGATTAGTTTCCTTCGGATTCTCCAGCCCTCTTCGATTTCGAAGGTTGAATAACTTCTGATGGTCCAACTACGCAATCGGCCAGATATTTTGTGTATCAGAAAGAAGCTTAAGCTCTTTTTTGAAATACACTGGTTGCTCAACGTGGTTTCGGTTTATACTTTAGTTGCACTGCAGAACTCTGGGAAAATTAAAAACTCAAAACATGAGCGCAAGTCTTGGATCAGCCGATAGATAGGTAGCTTCCTTGAGAGTTTTGAATGTGGCCCATACAAATTTTGCTGACTTCTTATTTACTGCCTACTTTTTTTTCTATGGTAGGGTAATATGTAAAATATAATTGCAATGATGGTGAGATATTTGCAAAACTCGGACCTCAGGTCAGATTCGATTCCGTGATTACCCCTTCGGGGGGCTCACTTACCCACTGCACAATCGAGGCCTTTGCTGCCTATGCCTTTCTTTCACCCAGTTTTTTTTCCTTAAAGGTGCTGTCAGCAAAGGCACAATTTTAACTCCCGGCTATATCGTTGGTGATCTTCAGAATAGCATCGAGACGAAATGGATGTAAAATCTTGAAAGAAACAGCGTACGATTGAAGCCCGAAAATGGCGTTATTGATGAAACATTGTCCACAGAAACCGCTATACCTATCCGGTGCCTTTCGGAATAGAGTGAGCTTTACATATAAGCGCTCGGTATTAATACGTCAATGCGGGTTGTTGTGAATCTTGGTTCAGCTCGGAACGGTGTTAAACAGAAGGATGAGTATAGGACGTTGCAGCACTATCACTGGGCTAACCGCGGCAAAACTGACAGTGCAAAACATTCAAAACGGAGGCTTCTCTAAGAATGTGCCAACTAAATGACATACGACTTTACAGGAAATCATGGGAATAGAAAAGAAGAACGACTTTCACTACGTAGATCATTTAATCTGAAGCATCTCACGCTAGAGGGTCTTATGGTTGTCTACAGCAGTATATGAAAGATGTAATATTACTCTACATTCTTCAGTAATCGACTAAGTTTGCATAATAACTGGAAGCGTGGGTTTGAATGGTTGATGAACGGCTGTAACCAGCCAGTCGGACACGTGAAATTAAAGAGAGGATCGACGTTAGTAAATGATTCTTTCGCTATTGATAGCCTTGTTCTTCGTTATCGCGGTTATCGTTTTATTTTTAGGCTTTATATCTTTCATATGAAATTCTCAAGTGCGTTTCATTTCTGTAGTTGTTCTTCATTTAAATGTACCCTGCAGAAGAGAATTAAGTAAAGTGGAGCCGTTTGATTTAAAATGCTGCCATCTGTATTGATCGGGTATATGCTCCTTGTAAGTGGAACAAATCTCGATATAATCTCATACTTCTTCCGTTCTCTGAAACTTTTTTAAAACTATCTATCAGCTATTCTTTCAGATATTACTCCATCTACATTGTACAAACTCGAAAGCACTTGTGGACCGTGAGTATTCTATCCCAATGTTTACTTTGAAGTATTTAATTTTCAATGTGTAATTGTAGCTCTAGATTTCTTCGTCACGAAACACTTCACTAGATCTCTTCGGATAACTATTCCAAAATGCATTGAACTCAATGCGTATAGCCAAAGTGTTCGCCCAGCTTATAAACTTCAAGCACCTTTATCAATAAAAGCACCACTCTTTGCAGCTTCGGAAGACTGAACGTCCTGCGCTATTTGTTTGGACATCAATAGGCATGGAAAGCAGATAGGGGTTCGGTTGCGGTATCAATGAGCTCTGTGTACAGCATGTCAAAATGCTCTTTAATACCTATAAAGCTACAGTACTTATTCTGTCATAGGCAGAAAAACTGGTCTGAAATGCTGTTAGAGACAACCCACATTCCCTTTTTCCTTCGTGTTTTCAAAAGAAGAAGATCAACAGAAAATGTCCTACATGCATTGTGCGCGGTGCACATGTGGGAGCAAGGTATACGAGTTGTACGTGTCGGTCGTAAGTGTCCGATACTGGGTTGATTTCAATGCAGTTCCTTTTAAGTGATTTATTTGGCTTTACAGAGCTCTTTTCACTGTCGTTTTTGTACTGAATTGGTGACTTCAACAATGGTGACCAATGAAGAGCCTATCTCAGCACTTGTTAACTGAGGAGTGATAATTAAATGATTATTGGCTATAAAACTTATCTGGACTAGTTTATTAACCCGCAATTTCAACGGCAGTGGACTTTAGATTTGGTTATGAGAAATAGTGGCTGTCGCATGGAATGAGTGGATATAAAAGGTGCAGAACGGACTTAGCACAAGTTACGGAAACTTTCTAATACTGACGGCAAAGTGTTTTAGCAAGTTATAGTAAGTAATAAGTAGACATAAATACCATGCATATCCCTAGTGCGATACACAGAAGTTTGTCCTGGTGTATTCACAACTCTACATGTTACCGAGAAAGGACCAACTATTTTTGGGAAACCTCCCCCATCCCCACCCGGACCGGTGGAAAGTTGGGCTCCGTTGTGTGCGGAAGTTGTTGCTAAAAATTGCACAAGAATTAATTATGTTTTAAAACTTATAAACGTAAATGTCTTAAGCTAGAAAATTTGCAGAGTTTCACTTAGATGTTAATGGTGCGTGATATTTCAAGTCAGTGAAAGCACAAAGTCCCTCTCAAGTAGCTTCTCGGTTCCTAAATTGCAAGAGAGAATAATGGAAGGGCAATGGATGGAAGTATTCCGCAATACACACTTGAACATTAGTCTGGCGCTATACCCAGGGCCAACGGAGCGCTCTGCGCGTCTAGCATCAGCAAATTATGTAACAGAGGTGTCTAAGAGAACAGCAACGCCGAGCTGGTGCATCCGATTTAATCAAAGTAGAACTATATATCTTTCTCCATTTAAATGACAAGATTGTCGTTTGTTCATCAAGCCCGAAACTTAAAATTTTCATTTGAAAACAACAAACCCATTGAATTTTATGGGACTGACACTTGTCAGTGGTGAATTTCGTTCCCATGTGATATATGCGGTTTTGAACACACGCACACCTAACTGAATAGTGGACTATGCAATGTTCCACACTGAATCAATCGGTCGTTCGTTCCATTTTGCTCCGCACGCTTAAAATTCTTCCAGCTCTTCGGGATAGGCAAATTAGGACCAGACTTGTTTTGGAAGATGAAACACCAACTTGATACACTAGTAACCCACCGTAAGTTATTGTGTAGACCGGATGTGCGTCCAATCATCTATGTGCTGTTATGAATAGAATGGAACAAATACGACATTCCCATGGGATTCATCAAGGGCTGGCTCTTTATCCTTTATAATGATTTATAGGCTGAGCTTTTTTTCGCGATTTCAAAACGGATATTTGTGAGAAATAAAGAAGAGATAGGAAGCGAATAAAAGAGAAAGAAGGAGAACAGGAACACATAGAGACAGATAGAAAATAGGTCTAACAGAACGATAACCTTCTATTTTTTAACAGTTAAATTTACCAGGTAAAAAAGGTCGCTTTTCTATTGTAATATGCGTCACAATCTCAACTGGCGTATTCAGCTAGTTTACGCTGGAGAGAGTGGGTCGCGCAACCGTAGACATCTCTCCGAGAAGCGGCACTGATATTTCTGCACGACTTTTGATCTTTGAGTGGTTTTTTAACTTTGAAATTGTCCGTCTTAAATTGTGTAAAGTTTTATTGTGTGGTTTCTTGCAGCCACTCTAATCAATAGGGAGTTGAGAAGTTTCAGCTTGGATCAAAACTGAGAACAAAGTTATTATAAATAAAGAGGAGAAAAGACTGCCGGATGGAAATGCAACGACGACAACGCCTGCCACAGAAATAGTGACGGAGCCAACAACAACATCAACTACTACGTTAACAACGACAACATCAATAACAACTTCAACAACAACTACTACTACGACGTCAACAACAACTACTACTGCAACACCAACAACAACATCGACAACAACAACAACAGCAACAACGACAACGCCAACACCAACGTCAACAGCGACAACAACTACGACAACAACAGGAGAGATGACTACACTGAAGAGTGAATGGATTTTAGCACCAGCACTACAATCACCACCGCCACCTGCACCACCAGCACCACCAGCACCTCTACCTCCACCACGACCGCCACCGCCATCAATCCCACCAGTACGACAACCACCTCAACCGCCATCAGCAGATACACTAACACCACCAGTGCTACCAGCACCTCAACCTCCACAACAAGTATCACCAGTGTCCCAATCGCCAACAGCACCGCCACCAGCACCGCCACCAGCACCGTTACCAGCACCCTTACCAAAGCCACTGTCTGAAGACGATGAGCTGTCGGATGCAGATGAAGACGATGTGTCTGATAATAAACAAGATCGCAAAAGGTGAACAATCGTGAGAATTTAAAATTGTTACACGTTTTAGAATGAGTTATTTCTTTCCTGCACTATTGTTTACACATTTTCTATGCCAGGGCCTAAAAACATTTCTGATGGTTTGCATTTTAAGGCGTAAAAAGAAAGGAGATGAAGACAAGGACAACGGAAAGTAAGCTTAAGAAAAACTAATATAAATAGTAAAACAAAGTTGATTTTTAAAATCCACACGAAATAGGGAAGCTAGGCAGTGCTGGAACTGAAGCTCTAAATAATTTAGGCAAATGATGTTTATTGTTGCCATTGTTGCGATTGTAGCGTTGACGCTAATTACTGTGATGCACTTCTATTTCAAGTATCGGACGGCTGTAGCTATAGGTAACGTTTCCTGTTTTTTGTATCTTCTTTAGTGCAGTGTTGGTTTATTGCCTTTATTTTTTGTTATTACACATTTACTTAGCTGCTTTTTCATCTAAGTGCTCTTCAAGACTACACCATCATATGTCCCATATAACTAGTGTGATTATTCTACTGTGGTGCGACTAGATATGTATCGAAATGAGGACGACTGTTAGAATAGATAGGCTCGCTAGCACTTACCGTTCTTAGCGGGACGGTCGCAACTCTTTTACAACTTAGAAGGTTCCACTCAGAAATGACTGTTCTGCCTTTCTTCACTTGGGAACATCCAACAAATATTTTACCCGTTAGCAACTTAATTCCATAGTTATTAAACTAAAAGAATTGGTTTGCTCACTTACTTCCATGAAACCACGTCACATATTGTGAAGATCTTGGCACTTTTGCTAGTCGGTTCCTTACTTTGCATCCTTAATTCTGAAATAATCTTCGGATTCTGCGTGTGGATTGGGCTAATTTGCTCTCTCCGTCCTCCATGAACTTCGCGAATGACGGTCTAGTTGATTCTTCTTAATATCCTGAAATATACACTCACAGGCTTTTATCGCAATGAGTTTTGTGGATCGCATGGGTTATTTGGAGGGCCTCCCTGGTACCACCATGATGAGATCGAAGGAACGAAAAACATCGACGACGTTGGTAGGGGACAAGGACGAACATGAGTTCACGCATTCATAGTTGATAATAGCGCAATGTACATAAAGTATAGTAAAGTATTTGTGTTTGACAAAGTTAAATAGATGCAGATTTCGTTGGAAAACTTTTCTTCTCGGTTCTATAACCACGGGATTAAGTGGAAACTCGTAAGCCCTGTTTGCGGTCTTTTCCATGATTGATATCCATGGAGATGCATCTTAAATTCGACCCTATTTGTAGCATGGCATAAATGATTGAATGCGTAGTTGTCCAACACAGTGGCTTGAGTCCGTTCACCGATGTACGGAATGGTGTACTTGTTTTCCTTTACAAGATTACCAGTAATTTATCAACTTCGGTCGGATAGAAAACTTCGATAGGTCCACCGATATCGAAACATTGCCGAGTTGTGTATTGTAAGGCTTTTTTGAAACTCCTTCGCTGCGCTGAGTGACGATAAACGAGCGCATGTATGTAGAAGTACATGCTCATAGACGGGCTTATTTTAGTGAAGTGAACTGATTTCAGGAGCTTTACAATTGTCAAGGAAGCCATCAAGAACTGCAAAAGGACGTGGACGACGAAAAACTAGATTTAAAACGAAAACATCTGAAAGCTCTCAGGCAAGTCGGATTCACACCAAGGAAAGGTGATGCAAAGATATTTATGCGGCTAGTGTTTCGGCTCCTTCGCCTTTTTCAATGTTGACACTAAGAAATCTTGCAATTTTGGCAGTGACTAACCTGCTTTTTAAACTTGTCCTAGAGAGTAGAACCATCAGGATTATTTTCTTCTTTTAAAACTACCGTTTTTCTCTTTTTTCACTGGGAAATGTAGCACTGAAGCATCTACGCAGTGATGGTAGTAATAAGAGTGGTAACGCGGTTTTTTTTAAAGACAACAGAAACTTTATCCAACTTTTTAAGCTCTCTCTATTTCGTTTACTATAAAAATGACAAAATGGTTTGCCTTAAATAAAATGGTGCAACGTTTGTGATCCCTATGCTGTTTATTGAACATTAAAATTGATACAACAAATATAAACAACACTTTCTTGCTTGAATACTTGGACGGCCCGTCTTCACGAGTTGTGTGGACGCCAGCACCATTTACATTCGCCTCTTTCGTTCTCAATCGTCGTTCATGGTGATGGATTGAGTAAGGCATGGTGGCAGATGCGAGCCTCGTTCCGTGATCTGTAAAACAACTGAAGCTGCAAAAAGAGCTGTTTGACTTTAGTCACGAACACGTTCGCCCGTCGTGTAGATAGTCGACCTAGGAGACACGTCTATCCTCGTGGAGTCCATTCTGCAAATTTTTCATCCGTCTGTCGTCTGTTTTTCTAATTATGTGACCGGCCCATCTATGGCTGTCGATATTTGTTAACTTAAGTCTCGAAGATGGGATAAATTTCGAAGATCAGAGCTTTTCTTCTCGGATAGATGCTGTGTGTGCAGCTTACATTTCAGAAGACATAGTTCAAGTGCACTGTGAGCAGTTCTCAGAATTCCTCTCGTGGTTGAAATATCAACTAAGATCCCTGCCGCATAACAGAGCGCAGAAAAGTTTCTTGAATTGGAAGGGTAGGCGAGGATGCATGGGTCTTTTGCTTGGTCGGTGGCTTCTTTAAGAGGCTCGAATGTAGTCCATGCGGCCTTTTTCTTTCGTCTATATCCTCTTCCATGCTGTTCTCCAAGCTTAAATTACACGTACTAAATTGTCCATGCAATCGAAAATACCCATTCGATTTATTCGTCTTCTCACAATACACTCTTCGTAAACTGAGCATTCCTCCGACTTATGCGTTGTCCAACCTTTTTTCGCTCTCCGTTGAACTCCTTGATCCTCGCCTCTTCGAAACAGATTAAGCAGAGGCTTCGTTCAAACTTTTTGAGAAGATGAAGCTGTCATCGGCCAAACTAAGGCTTTATAGGAATTTTCCATCAATACGTATGCCTTTCTCATCTCAACCAAGTGACTTCGTTATCCACTGGAATGCAGCTGTAAATAGATTTGGCGATGTGGTGTCGCCTTATCGAACCGCTTTTCTGATAGTTATGGTAGAAAGGTGGACATCGTGGGGGCGAAGGCGAATCTTTATTTTTGTGGTACAGTTTTGATAACGGTCAAATAAATTTGTTATGTGGAAAGGGTGGACATCGTGGTCGATATGCTCTGACAGGATTGCATTCGTTTCAACTTTGTCAAACGTTTTTTCATAGTCGACAAAAGTCAGCATTAAGGGCAAGTGATATTCTGGTAAAACCTCGCTAACCCAAAACACAGCATGGTTGTGGTTCTTGCAGCAAAATCCCTATTGAAATTCTGCTTGTACACTTAAAAAGTGTTAGGAAGATTTTTTCGCTCACCTTTCTGGGACAAGGTGAACGTACTCGAAGTCCTACATTTGTCTGGGATTTACTCTTCCTGGAGGTAAGATGTCATGTGGTCTACGATGTGTGCATGTGACTTGAGGTTTCCATCTCTAAGAAAGTCGGTGGTCACATTATCGGATCCTCGAGTTGTCCCTTCATGCCGGCGGTGAGGTGAACGGATTCTGGATCTGTGTCTTCCTTCATGCTTTCAGCTGCATCTCGAACCTTAAAATGAAGGAGATCCCATTTTCGTTCTTCAGGGCTCACAGTGGAATGCTATACTCGCACAAGCCCCGACGTCATTCTTTCAGAGTAGTTCTTCTCTTTGGTGGTTCCAGTAGTGTCCTCTGACTCCACCGATCTAGATTTTCCTGCAACTGGCATTCTTCCTCCAGATAGTAGTTGAACGCATCTAATTCACACTCATCAGTTGAATCGGTCAAGTGGTAGCAATTCATAATGGTGGTCTTCCTACAACGCATTGATTGGAGATGGTGAACGGCTTAACAAACGGAAAGAAAGTGCGTTGGTATTGGTGCATATTTTCTTACCTCCCTACAAATGCATTTAGAACAATACTTATAATCGCAGCAAATATTTATAATTATTTGAACAGCGGTTCCATTGACCGTTGAAACGTTATCAGCATGAAAATTTCTGGATAGTATCTAAATAGCGTTGAAAATGCCTAAATGAAAGGTTTGATGGATCTTTCTGCGCTGGATTACGATAATAGTTGTTATCGAATACGCTAAATGTAGGCTTTTTCAGAGCAGTAGTTTGCCGAAGTCAAAGAACAATCCAAGGCGAAATTTCAAGAAGAAGGATATCACAATCGAATACTACGATTTAGCTTCTCTTGAACCGAAAACCGGGAAAAAATAAGAAATCGGACATTTCCGATATACACCGAAATCTAATCTTTAAATCGATATTTTTCTCATGTGATACTAGACTTGTATTACACTAAGCGGTAATTGCATGCTTGTTGCATTACAACCATTAAACCTGCTTCATTAAGTTAAATGCTTTTATTGCTGATTATTCGTCCGACTTTCGCCCTATTTATTGATTTAGTTTGCATTTGTGTGACCATGCACATGTCCTCTAGACACCAGTACTTATTGCATCCGTTTCGTCATCAGGAATATAAGTCATCAGTGAGGTTTTTTAGATGTGCATACGGTGCGTGTGGCGCAGAGTGGTCGGAGGCGCCCTGCAACACGCATATGGAATCGATCCCTGCGCCCATGGCCCACCAGGCCTTCCATTTCGCGGGGTCGTCAAATTGCTATCAGACTTGCCTGACAGACAGCACTGTCTCTATACATCTGTAGGCCACCGCGAGTCCAGATTGTAAAGGCCAGATATGCATTTAATCACCCCCAAACGATTCTTAATGAAGTCGAATGCATAGCACATCCCTCAAGGATTGATCAACGCCGAGGGCTTTGTCCTTTTATCAAATAAATAACCATTGCGAATTGGAGAAAGCTATTTCCTGACAAAACCATTCATAACTTTCCGGCAGTATTAAAATACTAGCTTGCTTCCGTCGATTCGGCGTTGAACCAGCGACCACGAGTGCATTGCCATCATATGTGGTATTACATTCTTCCGTCGCCCGTCATATACTTGTTTTTGTTTATTCAAGGGTATGGTCTTCCCTTTCAGAATTTTTCGCAGCGTGGGAAGTACTAACGTCGACCCATGAAAGCCATTCATGTTACATTTTCTAACTGCTTTATTGCAAGCTTCTGGGCAGAACCGAAGAGTTGGATAGCCTTCCATGAAGCCAATTCAATCTGGCTGCCTGATACAATGTCGTCTATGTTTGTACTGCGTTTTAGCGGTTGTTTGCGCGACAGTATAACAATGATCACGTGGCGTGGCGTCATAAAATTGGATGGGATTCCGCAGTGAGGAAATCTATGGATTGTAGGGACAATAGTGTAAGAAGTTTCGTTAAAAACTTGTAAAAACGAAACTAAACTGACCACCAACATTTTGAATCCCACACCTGGATTCGCCTCAAATATGCGCATCCAACGGAACATTGAGTTCACAAAAGAACACAAGAAATGTCCAAATATGGTGGTCAAATTTCATACTGCCTCTTCCTCACTGTCATCTAATTGCTTCGCTATGTTAGAATAGGGTTGACAAAGCAGGAAAACTGTGAAAATGTCACTGCCGAAAACGACTGAAGATTGAAGAAGCAAGACTTCTCATTAACCATTCTTACAAAGTGCAATTACTAAAACTATCGGCTGGTGTCCACGAATCTCCTTCACATGAGGGATCTCGAGCCAGTTAGTCGCGAGGCTATGTGGCGCGTCCACAGGTGGCGGACAGAGGTTAATCGAGGACCAAAAGTGACCGGATGTTTCTTTGAGATGCAGGTGGACCCAGGTAATTGACTCCCTGTTTCCCTTACGCCGATTTGGCACATGCTTTCTATTTTTGCTAGGCGTATTCATGCATGCGTGTGTGGGCGCGTTCTCGCCTATGCGGATTGTACTCTACGAGTCAATTCGGCCAAAAGCCTGCAATGAAGTGACATTAAGTACATAGAAGGCGGTTATGAGTCACCTCAAACAAATAAGCTCAATGTCCACTGGCAAGCCACCCGTGAGTATACCCAGCTCCCACGTTCAGAGCCCACAAGCTATACATAGGTATCAAGAAGCTAAACACAGTAAAAGGAGCGGGCCTATTCCTCTAATCCCCAAAGAGCCTCCTGTTCCACAGGGTTAGGCAGAATAGGCACGGAGAGGCTGCCATAATCTAACGGTCATTCTAAGAGGACTAAATCGAAAAGATTAAGGTGTCGATCTGCACCTACAATGGACCCACACATGTATCTGAGGCTTCGATAGAAGACTTGATATTGCAAGCAAGCCGGATAAAGCACGACGTCATTGAACTGACCGAGACGAGAACACGCCAGCCTTTCAACGCTGTCTACGACACCAGAAAAGAACTATTCATCAGAACATGCGACAGAGAGGAGTCAGCGGCATCGGCGTTCTCGTCAACACAAGCTTGTCCATGATCATCGATTCATTCGAACAACTAACAACCCAGATCGGACGGTTACGATTGAAGAGATGTGGATTAATACCGGGTTTGACAATCTTCGTAGTTTACAAGCGGACATCAAACTATGACGGAGAAGAAGTCGAAGCGCTCTATGTGGACCTCAAGAAGTTCTATAGAGAATACCATGCATTCTTCAAGGTCATCATTGGAAAACTTAAAGCTAAGATTGGACGAGG